CCGCCGCCGCGGGGGCTGACGGGATAGCGGAAGATCCGGCGGCCTAAATTTATTTTTACCCGATATTCCCGAAAAATGTCTTTTCGATTCAATTTTTTTATGGATGAAAACGAAGCAGGCGACGCAGGAAGGAGCAAGCAAACCGCCTCGCAGGGCGAGAGCCAAGCTGAGACAGCCCGGAAGGAAAAATTCTGCCGTAAAGCCGCCAAGGAGCACGATATCCCTGAAGATCTCGATAAAATATTGGCAAATAAAGCCGTGGAAGCGGTGTCAGGCCTGCGTTACGTCAAGCTGTCTGTGGTGGAAATGGAGGGAGATGATGAAGAAGGCATCGTGTCCCAGAGTGTTTCTTCTCACTCCGATCTCATCCCTGGAGTCTACGAGGGAGGCCTGAAAATCTGGGAATGCACTTTTGATCTCATCGATTACATTTCCGAGGCTGAAATAGAATTGACCGACAAGGCTGTGTTGGATCTCGGCTGCGGGGCTGGACTGCTGGGAATAACCGCTTTAAAGGGTAAAGCTGGAAAAGTCCATTTTCAAGACTACAACAGCACGGTGATCGACAAAATCACCTTGCCGAACGTGGCGGCTAACTGTGGGAATGACGACAGAAAAACGAGCAAGCCTCCTTCAAAGAGGCTCAAGAAAGCGGAACCCTTACCCGATATGCTCACCAAATGCAGATTTTTTTCTGGAGAGTGGTCTGAAGTCCTCCAGCTCCTGTTAAGCAGCAGCAAACCCTTTCCAAAGTACGACATAATTCTCAGCTCTGAGACCACCTATAATCCTGACTACTACAGTGCTTTGCACGATACACTGGCTCAGCTCTTGGAGAAACACGGTCGTGTGTATTTGGCGAGCAAGGCCCATTATTTTGGGGTTGGCGGAGGTATCTACCTCTTTGAGAAATTCGCTGAAGAGAGAAACGTGTTTAGGACCAGCATAGTTAAAGTAATTGATAAAGGACTACAGCGATGTATTATGGAAATGGCCTTTAAACATTCCAGTTAAAATGCAACTGCTGGTCCTTCAAAAATATCTTAAAAAATGCAATGTTTTAATCCTCATCTCTCTTTGCTTTTTCCTCTGTTAAGTTCTTCTGGTTTGACAAACTAAGAATGCCCATTATTGAAACGTCTGACAAATTCTGATGTCTGGCTAGAAGTGAAGGACTCTTCTGGTTCTTGTTTTGAATAGAAAAATTTAGTTCTCTTGAAACTGCCACATTTATGCCAATTAATTGCCATATATGTATTAAAAAATGGAGCAAGTCGCTGTCCTGAGCCCCCCTCTCATATTCTTTGGCAGTGCCAGAAACGCGTTTCACAGGAGTGGCTGCTGAGATCATTTAACATCCTAAAACAGCGCAGGAAGTGGTTCCCAACTCAGGTACAGTTTAACTGCAGCCACAGATTTTGGCATCGGTGGTGCAGCCGTGTGCTCTGCCGCCAGAGGGGGATGTGGTTGTATTTATTAGTTGTGTTCTAGTCTGCTAGCGATCTCGCAAACCATTGTAATGTTTCAACGCGTAACGCACACGTTGACTTTCATTCAAGCCTTTGAAAAAGCGTACCAGAATATATTTGCTAGTGTGGTCTGTGAATTTTCACATACAGGCTTTCACACAGCACTGTTAAGAAAATTTCAGCAATTGGAAATCCAAGGGAACTGGAGGATGACAGCACCGAGCTTTAGGTGACAAGTGGGAAAGATTAACTGTGTTATTATAGCAGATTGCCAACTTTAGTACTGTACTGTATTTTCAACAAGATTTTTTCCAGAAATTAACTGCCCCCCTACACTATTAACCCATTTTTGCTGAGGGGTACCACTGAACACTTGCACCTGTTCCGTCTTTAGCAGTTTGGCAGGGCAGCAAGGATCAGGAAAATCCTGGGTACAAGTCACTCCTATGTCCTAGAACGAAGGTAGCGATGTTGCTGAAGAAACTACCTTAGCAAAAATACAAACAAACTCAAAGAACTATGAAATACGGTCCTGAATGCCAATATCCCAAACAATTCACACAAAATCGGTTGCATGTTTTGTCTTAATTGAAACTGGACAGAAAGCTCTTACACAACTCTTAACAGGTACATTAAAGGTGCTGCTTATCATCATGCCCTGCTTTACTACAGCAGTAATTCATTGGGTGCCCTCACAGAAATACAAACTTGGAGACACTCAACCACTGCAGTAAACTGGTTGTAAGGATACTCAATGCAGGACAACAGTCTGAGGGGATGAAAAGAAACTTAGTACAACAGTGACCTAAATCACTTTAATTATTGCATCGAGTAATTGTAGGCTGTGAAAGTCAACTGCCAGGCTCCTATTTTGACCATACTGTTATTAAGAGAGAGTCGTAGAGGATTTCCCGTACTTAACAGAAGAGCCTTAACAACTACTGTTGCTTCAAAACCAATTGTAAGTAGACTGTTTTAAAAGGATGCTTCAGAAGCTGCTGAAGTTACTCTTCTATAGGAGAGAGAGTTAAAAAACAGTCAGTTGTGCCATAGCTGTGATGGCACTTTGGAATTTTTCCACATCAACTCTGAAGCTTACTATTGATAGCCAACTGCTGACTACAGGTTGAGGAACAAAAGGAGGTTCTAGCTTTGACAGATGACTAGAGCGCTCCTAACAGTTCATTTTTGTCAAACTTGGAAGTGGGAAACAAAGCGACTACCACTTACAGTTTTCCAAACCTCAGTCATAAGATAAATCACGGCTTGCATACAGTGACTGAATAGCTTGTTCTACATCTGCTACATTATAGTGCTGTTTCAGAGAAGTAATAAGAAACATTGACCGCTACGATGATGGATATGGTTATGAACAAGAATCTCATGTTTTTGGTGAACAAAGGCAGCACTCAAAAGTCTTCTCCCATAATGCTTTCTCTTGAAAATATTCCATGACCAAACTCAGTGTTTTGGGTTTAACATGCTCCTCCTTTGCTCCGCATCCTTCTTTTATTGGATTGCTCAAAGATAGCTTTGTTTCTGTGCAAATACAGAATGAGACTTTTTAGGACTTTCAAGTGAAGGTTGCTAGAGCCACAATCACACAGTTATCACACACCTGCAAGACAGGAAACCCCACACAGTATAATTAAGTTCCCATTTCAGAATTACAGATGAGAATTCATAAAGGATGTTTTTCCTCCTGAAATCAGCGAAAGTGGCATCAAGATTTCTGTAAGTCCAGGTGAGTTCTATTCTGTTCTTAAAATTGAGCAGGTAAGTGCTGAGGAAGCAGAATTCAACACTTAATTTTGTGGGCTGGTCGTTCTGTTGGTGTTTCAACATCAAATACTAGTTTATCTAATCTACATTAAGGCTTTCTCTACTTGCCAGATCATCACCACCCTAATAACCAGTTTCCTCCTTCTCTTCATTATTTAAATTAAAAAAACCCAAACCAACAAAAAGAAAACACACTTTCACTCACTTGAAATCATATATATTACTTAATAGCTAGGGAAACTAGCATTTCCCCAAATGACACTGCACTAGAAAATAACAGAATAGGGAGGACCCTCAAAGTAATTTTTTTATGACATCAGAAACCCTTACATCAGGCAGAGGTAGAGGCTATCTGGTAACTCAATTATCAGCTCATTTCAAATCATCACCGCTTTTCTCCCCTCACTTTTTGAAAGAGTCATTACAATAAGAAATCCGGTCTCAATTATGTCTTTCCCGTAAGTATTGTGGAGAGAAAAAATATCAGTCAGAAAAATGTCTCAGGAAACCAAGTTTAAAAGCTTGTTTGTTTTAACAGGCACTATCCTTAACTGTTGACTTCCCTTTGAAGTCTATCTGATAGTTTTTGGGAAATGAGGCTATTAAAAAAAAAAAAAAATCAGTTTTGTATACTGGCATCAATTACATGGCATCCGTTACGGTCATTTTACTAAAGCTTAGGTGGGGGGAAAAAAGAAAACACGTGAGGAAAATCCAAGTGGGAAGCGCCCAATTTGCAAATTACTGACTTGTGGGCTATTCTTGGTTACTAGGTACACAGGCATTTAATCACATTCTGAAATCAAAATCTTGTTAAGAAAAATCAAATCTGCAGTCAGTGTTATCCTGGCATATGAAGGGGCACAGCCAGATGACTGTTGTACAGGAGCATGAAGAGGAGCACAAAGAGCAGATGGAAAAAGGTGCTGGAGGGGAAAGTCCAGGCTGGATGTTGGGGGGAAGCAAGTGCTAACCAAGAGCAGCAAGCACCAGGTTCAAGAGATCCTGCTCCCAGGTGATGATTGGTATGGAGATACCTGGAACTCTTCTAATTAGGAATGGACTGAAAGGTCTGAGGATGAAAAGAAACTCTTGTCTGCCCAACCGATCAAATATACAGGAAGGTGACATAAGATGGATAATTAGTGAAACAAGGCAGTAACACCAGGGATTTCTGTGATAGAAACTGGACTACAGCCTTTTAAAAGTGCAAACAGTATGAAATTTGAGAGTCACATGCACACTGCAGAGAAAAAGCTGCAGTACACCACCAAATACTGGTCAGTAGGTGCAGAAGAAAGCACAGCAAAAGGCAGAGCCAGGATTTATATACAAGTACCTCTTGAAGACTGTAAGTCAACAATATGAGCACAAGAATAAAAGCTACTGCCTTGAAATCCACAACAGCATTTAAGAGAAGACTGGCAGGAAACAAAAGTGAAGATTGCAGCAAGTAACTTCACAACAATTGAAAGGCAGCATCTTGCCAGGACAGGAGAAAGGAGGTGCTGTAAGTTAATTCAGACACTGCCTAGGTTCTGGCTGCAAGGTAGTTAACTAGAAGATCATTATTGCTATTAAAAAAAAAAAAGGAAAGAGCATCATTATACTCATGGAATACTATTAGTACAGGGGAATCTAAATAAAACAAGTATTGCCAGAATTTAACATTGCCATCAGTCTACTATAGGGAAGGGTTTGGCAGGAACACGAAAGATCTTTATTGTTACTTGTGCTGAACACAAGTATTGAATTTTCAAAACCACTGAGTAAATCAAAGAGTTAGTTCATTGGTGAAGAACTGCAACAGACAACCCTCCTTTCCCCCTCAGTTTTATTTAGTAAATGTGGTTGAGGAACTTGAACAGCCTAAAGAGCAACAGAAAATAAAGGAAGCAGAAAAGGCTGTGGTCAAAAGACCAGGGAACAGGTTTGATCCTCTGTCTTTTAAGTTAATGGCAAAATCCTGATGTATCAGAGAGGCAGGACTGGATGAAAACAAACTGGTAGTAAGACTATGTGGGAGTGTTTAATTAGATGGCGTGTCAAAAGGAGAGGAAAAAGGCTTAGAACTGCAGATTCTGCACAAAGGAATGATCTGAAAAATAAGATATATCTCAGGATTACTAACCACATTATAAATCACAGCAGGGTCCAGTTACTCCAAATTTATGGTAACATACATAGAAGATATATTCAATTTTATTTAACAAAGTACATCTCAATTACCAGTTTTGAACTGCTTGTTGTACTCATAAGTAGCTGATTTATTTCTTGTCATCTGACCATGTAATTTCATAATCTGTATACACTTTTTTCAGTATCTCCACAGTCACCGAATGATCTGCTTTTCCATAGCCCTGCAAGAAAGAACAAATGCATATTAGACATGTACAGACAGTCCACAGAACCATTCAGTTCTTGACACAAATTATCCAGTTAGGATTTTATACATCAAGTAGTTCACATATAAATTAAATACAGGTTCTATAAGAGTTATTCTTGCAGTATCATGTTTTATTTTTCTATTGTCCCCTCCAGTTACCCCCAACCCAAGTTGCAGAAAATAACTGAGATGGGAGTCAGGCAATCTGAAGTAATAGTGGATGCATTTTTCACATCATGTTTCTTCAGCAGAAAGCTTGTTTTAAAAATATTCCCAACTCCTCATCCACTATATTTACTCACATGTTATTTTAAACCACAGAGATTGCATTGACCCACCTTAATGTATGAGAATACAAACATCTGATCTGACTCAGCTGAAGCAAAAGGGAATAAGCCACCACATGTGAACATTTGAGTATTATTCCAGCCACTAAAGAAATCGGTCGTCTTGTTTTATTTATTTGCAATAAATAGCAGTTGTGCTAGTAGGTGCCAGATTTCCTTATATGACTATAGTTAATATCTTGATTGCTTATTTTAGAACAAGTAAGTTTTTCGCTGTCAAAAAGCCTTTGCTGCACAACAGTGCAGTCTACTGAAAACAAAAATGCAATTTTCAGGTTTCTTTCTTTTTACAGTAATGTTTCATGTGAAACTTCACTTGAAAGACTTAAAAACAGAGCTCAAGACTGCATTATTAAACAAAACATGTACTCTTATTCATCACTTACTCTGCCCCAAAAAGGAACAGCTTAAGTAAACCAGCATTTAAAGTGCACGGGTTAAAATTATTAATGCATTATAAAATGCAAACTTTTCAAAAGTACCAGATAATACAATTATGTCAGAAATACTGCATGTTTATACTGTCAGTTTTAAAGCCACAAACCTACAGGTCACTTCCTGCCTTGGTAACCACTTTGAAGACCCCATCCAGTTTTGCAAATAATAGCACAGCATCTACTTCTGAAGTCAATGACTGTTTCTGTGGTTTTCATAAAATACCAAGATCATTCTGTTCTAGAGCCTGACAACAAATCTTCAAAAAAAAGAGTTAAACAAATTCAAGTATTATACTAACTTCTGGCCTGCTACCGAGGTCTTCTCAATCTCAGGTCTATGCCTGACAGAAGCCCTTATGGTAATAAAAGTGCTTTTACATGGTGCTCATCTGTAAATGACGATGGGCCAAAAGCAGAGAAACAAGGTATTTTCCACAGACATCGCATTACAGGAGCAAGAGTCGACCACTGTCTCTAACACTAAATTGCCAGCTGAATTAATAACACAAGTGTCAAGCCTCATCTAAAACTCCCTTAAGAGGAGGACCTACAATCACAAGAATATTGTAGTATAACCATTATACCTTGCCTTCCCACCCCATACAAATCCTAAGGAGCTCCTTTTTTTTTCTTAGGATTACTCCAGGTGACAAGACTCATCTCTGAATGAAAGCAGCACTAACATTTAAATATGCTCAATGCATACTCAAGGCCAGACCTTCCCTTTCATCTAAGGTAAGCAGATTTGAATTAACCATCACTTCCTACAAACGAGAAAGAACTATTTTCTTCCTGTCTACTTGAGAAGCCTAGAATCTTTGCTCATAGTATTACTACAGAAGCAGCTACGCTTCATCGTAGAGCAAAACCAGAAACAGACTACAGCACGTTCCCTAAATTCAGGTAAACATTGCCACTTACTAAGTCTTTCATAAAGAAACTGAACTTACACAGAACAGGTAATAAATGCTCTAGTTTCCATATTCTTGGAAGTTAGCTTTATTCCTACAAAATGCATTTATGCAAAATTACATCTTCACCAACTAAACTAGTTCTACTCTTCTCTCAGAACACAGAATCATAGAATCAGTTAGGTTGGAAAAAACCTTTAAGATCATGGTGTCCAACCATTGACCTAGCAATGCCAGGTCCACCACTAAAAATAAACCCTACAATTTAGCTGGTCATTATCAACCAGTCTTCTCGTTGGCAAATAAAGAACACACAATAGCTGGATCAAGGCCTTGTGGCTACAAATGGGACTTTCCTGCTCTAGCAGTAAGACAAAGATTCCGAGTCAAGAGATGCTAGCTTCCACTTTTAGTCTTGATTATAACTGGATGTTGGTCTTACTCAGCATTAAGTGATCTATTATTTTTGCTTTGGTCTCCTGCCCTTAAAACTATTGTTTTTCTAATCTCACAAGTAAACCAGGCAAGTTCTCCAGTTAATGTTCCCACCACAACTGAAGTTGTCAAAAGCCACCGTACTATAAACCAAAAACTCCAGAACATCAGAAACTAAAGGATTTGAAGGAATACAAGGGACGCACTTACTGTAGAGAGCCCGAATACCCTTATTTTCTTGTCTTTGCTATTATGATCAATTTTCCCTCCTCCAAGGCACTTGCACTCGTATCCCAGCTTTTCCATCTCAGGATTTACCTTCTCAAATATGTGATCTGCACAGGAACAGTGGGAGCCGTTAGATCGCGCAGGAGGCACCCAGCCCTCCGGGGCTCTTCTTTTCACCTCCCTCCTGCTCATTTTCCCCCATTTCCCTTCTTTCACCTGCAAAAGCAGGAGGACTCTCTTGACAGACACAGAAAAGCTGCAATTAAGGTTCTCTTTTTTAATTTTTTTAAATTATTTATTTAGTTAACACACTCCTAAATGAGGTTTAGAATCTGTCTTTTGGTCCTATTTTACTTAACACCCCTTGTTCTCTTAAATGAGGTTTGGAAATGAGATCTGACAGAGACATGGAC